AAAACGCTACGAATTAATTCCAACACCTAATATATATTTAAAAAGTAAGTATATATACTTACTGGGAGATGTTGCTGCGTATCGTGATAGGTAATTGTGTTGTGTAAAAAATGCGAAGAAATAGGAAAATATGAAGTAAAAAATAGATTTGACAGATTTGACTGTAATTTTTAATTATGTTTGTAAAAATATTTACAATTATTTATTATCATTTTAAAGTTTTAACTGTAAAAATGCAAATTAATTAAAATTTTTATTTAGTTCTTTTTCTTTTTATTTTAACAAATATATCAAAAAAATAGAAAACAAGTTAAAACAATTAACAAGTTAAACTTAGTTTTTAATTTGTTAACTTTCTAATATTGAACCTCCAAGTAGATAATGTAGGTCTTAAGATTTTTGATAAAAAGCAACTTATTGTTTTTTTTGAAAAATTTTTGTGATTGTTATTTTAAAATGATTTTAAGATATTTCTTTAGAGATACCTGCGAAGCAGAGAAGAAGTGCTCGTGATATAAAATATTCGAGGTGATAAAATAATCCATATTAACACAAGGGTATTGCTAGGAAAATGTATTCATAAAATAAGTTTCATAAAATAAGTTTTTGAATTTCTGACAATATCTCAATACATTTAGAATTTTTTATGAATTTCAAACTATTTGTAAATTTTTCGGGTTTTTACTGTATTATTAGGTATTCATCGAAATTAACGAAATAATTATTTTAACGAGAACAACTGCGCGTATTTATGACAGCTGTTTTGCCAATTAATATATTAATGGATAAAACTATTAAGGTGTGTTTAGGAAAACGTTCTATGATATTTGTGTCATTTATTTGTCTATATAAAGATAGAACAATATAAATTATGTAGCACTGATAATGTCTCTCTAAGCTTAGTTTGAAATATATTCATGATTTTGTTTTTTATTATAATAGTTCTAATTAAGTCAGTTTAATTAATCTCTTGACGTTTAATAATTTTTTAAAACATTTTTAAAAATCATAATTTAACAAAATACAGAAATTAATTTATGTTATATTTTTATATTATATTATATTTTTTGATACATATATTACATTAAAATAAAATGTTAATATTAATACTCACATCAGTAATAATTATTGTTATTATTAGGTATAGTAAAAAGAAATCCATTATTTTTCCAATAGATGGCTTTAGTAATCTGTATCACGCGTAGATACAGATACAGATTACTAAGCCATCTATTGGAAAAATAATGGATTTCTTTTTACTACACCTAATATAATTAAATAGTTACTCTTTAAACTTTAGATAAACAAATTTCATAGCGCAAAACATATAACATGGATAAATATACACATACCGTCTTGTTACTAATATTTGCATAGGAAGAAGTCGTCTTTCTATATCCCAAAAATTTGAATACTCATAAAACTGAATTAAGAGCTGGAATCTGTTAGGATTAAAATTATGCAAATTATAATTAATAATGAATCTGCAGAATTGTTATATTAATATATACTTTTTATTTTTTAAGTCTGATGTATTCTTCCGTATTTATGTAGACAAAGTTGTGTGTTCCTTTCCGTGAAACTTATTTTTCTTTTCCTTGGACTTATGTTTCTTCAGAAAGAATTATGCGAAACGTTGTTAAGTAAGAAAATGCTGTTGAAACGTACTGAAAAATCAATGTATATATAAAAAACTTGTAAAAGATAATGGGATAATGGATAACTGGTTAAGGATACTTAATATATTACTGCCATATATGTACATATGTTGTAATTGATGATACAATTGGAAAAGAATTTTTATGTTATACAATTGTAAAATGAAAAGTATTAAAAAAGATTTTAATATAAATCTAAGTTTCGAGAAGTTGTACAAAAGGTTAAAATACTGATATCTCAACGTTTTTAAAAACGCTAATTTTTACAGATGTTAAAAATTTTGCAATAAAAATTTTTGAAAATATTTTTAACGACAATCAGAAAACAAAAACATTTTTTCATAAATATTTACGTTTTTTTAACATTAATAACATTTTAATTAAAAAGTGATTGAATTATTAGAAAAATTATATAGTACAAAGTTAAATTTTTTAATTTTATATATTTTTTTATAATAAGATGCGTTTTTTATAATTTAATAAGATGTTGTTTATCAAATCAAAATTGGTGACAGACATAATTGTAAAAATGGTTTAAGCTGTTAAAAAACGAAAATATTAATTTTAATTTTCAGTGCTATTTTTATGTAAAGTAGTCACATGCACACATTTTATAAGATAAAATTTTATTTTTTGTTTTTATATTTTATGTTTTTGTGGAAATATTTTTTTCATTGTATCATAAATTACATTATACTTTGATTAATTATAAAGATTGACACTGTAAGTCAGTGTAAGGCGTTCTCATACAGAAGTATATTGTTGAAATGTTAAAGCTTTTAGTAAACCAGGAACAGATATAACTACAGCTCGTTGGCATCGTAGCAAAGTATGTAACATAATCTTTTGAGATTCAATATTTTGATTATACCATAATGAATCATAGGCTGCCTCAGCAACATTAGAACTCTAAAATATATATTTAAAAAATATATGTATATTTTACTTATATTTTACTTGTCATAATATCCAGTTTTAGATCATTTTTATCAGACTTACTATTCTCATTAGATGGTCAGCCGGCCAAGCGCACAGAAATACTTTTACTAATGATGTTAAACATACAACTATATACTGAAATTTTACGGATAGCGGAAATCGCTATTTAACAAAAATTTTTTAATGAGAAATGTAAATTAACAGAAATTATTCAGTAGTGTTGTATAATAATTGCATTACAACAAATATACGCACGCTTAGGAATGTAACTCCGCCGAATATCAGCGCTATAGTACTAACACCGAGCGATGATAACACTACGAGTGCGATAGAACTACTCATTTCTTTTGCAAATCTGTTAGAGAGAATTTAATTATAATTTTGAAATATAATAGAGAAAATTTTGCGATTCATTTATATGAGGAATAAACTTTGTAATAAAGAAATGTGATAATTTTATTTGGTTCTAAAGTTAATTTGTATTTTTTTAATACCTTAAAGTTACTTGATGCTCTTGTATGCATATTTTCCAATCAGAATACTTGGTGACTGTGCGGAATTTATTTGTCAAGATCTCAAAGCGAGCCGTTGTGAACCATATTAGAAGAGCGAGGAAAACATTTGCGCTCACTTGACAAGTAACCTGATACATACCAAGTACTTGATGAAAATAGAGCATCGCCATTATCGGTTGATAATCAACGCGAAATGGATATTCTATTTCTAGCGGAAACTTGCGGGACCGAATTAATGGCACTATGATACAACCAGCAAAAGTTATGGCAGTAGTTAATGTCAACGTAGTTCCATAAAATAAAATATATTTGTTAATGTATTGTTGAAATACATCTTTTTCTTCATTATTAGCTTGCTTGTAATAATCTTCCATCTCGCAAATTACATTCTGTAAATTTATTAAGATTTAATTTATTTACACAATCTCAATATTACATTGCATAAAATTTTATATTTAAGTATAGGTGTATGGGTTGTTCGGTAGAAAATAATGTGTTTTATGTGTCACTTGTTACATTATTCACTCGACATAATAAAAATAATTAATTTTTTTCTTACTTGTAAACGATCGTGTTGTTTTGTAAATAAAAATATTTGCAATGGAACTTCACAAAAGATGCCCAACGCACAAGCTAATTGCATAAGCAATAAAACATTATCTAAATGATTACTAATTGAATATATTATCTCAATAATCATGAATGCACCATTCACCATGGATAAATACCGAAATATTCTATCACAAATAATTTGAAACTTTGTAGCAGTTCGCGGTAGAGGCCAACAACAAGCGAATAATAAATCTATCTTCAAAAAAGCAATAACTCTGTCCAAAGTCGGTGCGATTTTCATGTTAGATGGAAAGCCGTCGTACTCTTTCACACAAGAGTATTTCTATCGTTAATATTTCTGCGCTTTTCTCACGATTTTATGAAGAATTTCATATAACTAGGGTAAGAACTTCTAGGTAGTGCAATATTACGCACATTATGGCAACGCTTATCTCAGGCAGAATATTACGTTTATTACGTTTATTATTTCTAGCTTCTTCATTTTCCTCTCTCCTTTGTGTTTATAGTGCGATCTTGCAGATTAATAAATTATACGACTGACGTGTATTTTACCCCGACGTAGTTCCGTAGTAATATATTTCTACTCTGAATTGTTATGAGAACCACGCACTATGTCTTTATGTAATCTGCATAATTGTTGTGCGTTAAGAGAGATAACTACATTACGAATTTCAATGTTTTAGAAAGTGTGAGAGATAGGGTGAGAGTATAATTATTGTTGATAAATGAAAAATAACGCAATGTACGTAACATGCGTAGTGCATTGACAGTCTTTACATTATATTTACAGATCGCATTAAATGATTATATTATCAGCGATGATAATATAATCATTGATGATTAATGATATAATTACTTTTAATAAATATAAGAGACAAAACATGTATTCACGACAATTGTAGTGCTGAATAATAATTTTATTAATGTACATTGTTCATTAGATTTACTTCATGCGGTATTCACATAATTGTTTAAACGTATTTTCCAAAAGAAAAAATGATAAGTAAGATAGAAAAAATATTTTATGTTATACATTTGTATATCATTTCACTGAGAAGAGAACGCTATCCGCTCCACTCTCTCTCTTCCTTGAATCTCTCTGCGTTAGATTATATTAGATTCAGGGAGGAATCTAATGTACTCATCCAGGTGGGAATCTGAACATACCTTTTCTTTCACTCATTTTGTACATTAATTATATGAAAAATGAGTATAGGATCGGATCGACGTTACTTTACTGGATAAAAGTTCGAATTACAATGGAGTTAATATTAAGTTCAATTTGTTAAAATATTTTCTATTAAAATTATAAAAAGATTTTTTCCTTTTTTACTTTTTTATTAGAAATTCGTATTACAATATATAAATATATTATAATTGTTGTAGACATTACATTATTAACTAATCATCGGTATAAGTACGAAGTATTTGGAAGCATTTCAAATCTAACGTAGTATCGTTTGCAATGCCATAAAGTACGAGAATATAATGTAAAAAACCTATAAATACAATTAATAATTTATAACCCGATAAAGGATAAATATATTAATACATATAACAATATTTATCCTCACACATTTTCGTAAAATTTTATAGAAATTGTGGGTATCAACTTGGTACTGCTAACTGCAATTATGGCTTCTGATCTTTGGACAATCATAAAAATTGTTCGGGGTACATTTTCAGATGCATCTATCCTTGGAGAATCATAGATTTGCCAAAACAGTTTGTAGGACTATAACAAAAATTTATAAGAATTAAATATTATATTATAATTATGCTTATTAAGAAATAACCATAAGATAAAAAATTGATTGATTTATATTCTCTCTCTCTCTCTCTCTCTCTCTCTCTCTCTCTCTCTTTCTAATAACTTCGACAAATAATAAATAGCATAGAGTCTTTTTGTAATTATATAGAGCGTTTAATAAAACTTTGTACTCTCTAAATTTCTTGGAGTGAAACTTTAGAAAGTAAAAATACAATTATTTTTGGAGAAGAGTGAAAATATTTCATTTCTTGAAAAAGAATGACAATTTTTACTCTTTTTGTGTGAAATTTCATTTTAAAAGAGTGAAATCTTATCCCAAAAAAATAACAAAATAATATTCTTTGTAATAATATTCTATTTATGCGTTTATAAATTATATAAATTATAGATATTGAGTATTGTAATAGGGAACATAAAGTGATACTAATTCTATTAATTGTAAATATTTTTTTATTATTAATTTTATTATTAATTTTTAACTTTGAATTACAGACACAGATGCAGATAGAGTAGAGTGAAGCTTTTTCATCCATTTTTCGCGATGATTATATTTTTGTGTAGTATATATTAAATATTTAAAGATTGTGCTTATGGGCAATCATGATTATGTAATGTAGCTGTAAGCACGTCACTACAAAGAGATATTATTTACCGTCATAAATTTAAACATTACTTTAAAGTTGAAACTGACGGAATAATCGCGTCTTATCATATGATTTAAAATATTTACAGTTTATCAATTTTGTTCACATTAGAAAGATATAATACATACAGTAGATTACATTTGCAACCCGTCTTCTTTAGCAAGCATTGCTCGAAATGTTGTGAAATAGGAAAACGTAGTTGATAAAAACTGTCACATATAAATATATAATTTTTATTATTTTAAATATCGGTAGTGTATAATAATAATAATTGTAAATTATTATAAACCCTCACGAACATCTTAATTATTAAACAATGTTTTAGTTTATTACTATTTATTTTAAATTTATACATATACAGTAGCATCCAAAAGTTCCTGGTCAGTGACATTTTGTATACTCTAATTTATTAAAAAAAAAGCCGAGAAAATTTTAATCATTATCAGATGATAGTACATGATTTTGTTATTCACATCTTGATTGATACTGATACACGATAATGGTTAAAATTTTATCAGTTTTTCTTTATAAATTAGAATACAAAATGTCACTGGCTGGAAACTTTTGCACGCCACTGTATGGACATGATTAACTATTATGTTTTAAAAAGGTAAGTTAACAGTACCGATTAAGGGACTCAGCCCCAACTGACTTCGATCTTGACATATGTTATCAAAATCATGATCTTAAGTGACCTCCAACAGATTTTAGTCGTTATTTATTAAAAAAGTTATTAACAAAAGTTATTAACAAGTTTGAAAAAAATAACGTCTTATTTCTACTATACATATACAGAGTATTTCCTATAATTTGATCATTTAAAATGTTTTAAATGATTTGTTGATTTTGATGGTACGGGAAAATACCATAGGAGATCATCTTGTTCTCTATTCAAAAAGGTACATACTATGATGAGCAAAAAATTTCTCTCAAGTTAAGATCATATTTTTTTGAGACTTCAAGGTCACCTTCACTTTTTTAAATGGAATTGTATCATTTTTTACACAATATTACTCTAATTCCATGTCCATATAAAAGTATTAAAGCACGATTATAAAAAAATTAATAGTTTACGAGTTATTTAACATTTTATATTAATATATGTCAGAAAAGTATAAAATATTTCATATACCATTAATTTTTTGATACCATTACTTCAATATATGCAAAATAATGAAATGAATTAATTAATGGAAAGAAAGCACATTGCTTATGTAAAAAATTATTCTTTTTGCATATATATATATATATATATATACTTTTTTTAAAGCAATTATGTGTTTTGATTCATCTCATTACTTTGTTCAACGCGAAGCGAGATCCACTCCATCTTTATGTGGAAAGTCACGCGCACCTTGGCAGAGAGAGGGAGGTAGGCTGAAACTCGCATGGAAAGTCGTGCATCTTTTAGCAGAGGAGAAAATGAGTTGAAAGTCGATTTACGTGGAAAATCGGGCGCCCTTTAAGAGAGAAGGTGGAATGAAAATCGCTTTGCGTGGAAAGTTGTATTCCTTGAATTCGTCCATCTCATATCTCTCTCCCTGTCTAAAATTATTTGACTCTTCATGAAGCAGGGAGAAAAATAATTATTAACACTAACTGTTTAAACTTTTTAACGAATAACGAGCGATGACTAAAACTTGTTGAAGGTCATTCAGAGTCATGACCTCGACAACATATGTCAAAGTCAAAGTCATTGAGGCTGGGTCTCCTAACAGGTATTTTTACCGAAAATAATAATAAGGGGGGGGGGAGTGTTAAAAATTGTCGATTTTTGCCGCCAAGTGTAAAATAAATAAACATTGAAAAATCATCGTTAGGAATTATGAATGACAGAAAACAATAGTGATTTTTTTGAGAAGGAATAGAAACATTACTAGAATAACTTAAAAATAAGAGATGACATAAACCAGGCCATATATGTACGTTAATAATTGGAAAACCATTATTCTAGTTATTATAGAATTGTACATGTAAAGATCACTTTAATCTATTTGACACTTGGGGGCGAAAATCGACACTCTTCTTTATGAATTATTACATTCAAAATTATTGAACTTCAATTAAACCACTGAAAATAATTCTTATGAATATTCTAATTTAAGATATGACTTACAGAGGCATAATAATTAAGTGAAAGACTCGGTAGCAGACAAGGCACAGTTAGAGTTACAGGATGTTGACATCTCAACACAGTATATAACAAATTCTTCTGTAAAGATATGTCTTTATTGTACCATGATGATTCATATCCAGCATGGCCAATGTCATTGCTCTGAAATATTAAAATAAAGAAAACATTATGAGAAAATTTTACCCAGAATAAAGACACAGTCATTAATATAATGTATATTTTTTTACAAGATGAAAATGTGATTATAGATCACATCAATTATATTAAAAAAAATCTCTATATATCTTCTAAAATTCTTCTAAAATTTATACATATTTTATATTTTTATTTTTAATTTATTGCAATTTTGATTTTTATGTTATTTTATTATAAACTCTTTTTATGCCTTTTTTTACGTTTTATGTGCCTTACCGTGCGTAATAAATAATCAGCTGGCCATGCGCAGATGAAAACCTCTATAAGTGCGGATGTGGAAATGGCAAAACATTGAGTTTTCATAGTTAACGTTTGTTGCTGTGCAAGATAATATTTTAATATAAGTAATATAAAATTTAAATTATATTTGTGACAGAAAAAAATTTGTCATTGTTTATAATTTTAAATTGATAAAGTAATTTTTAATTTTTAAAAATAAATTATGTAATGCCTAGATCTTTATTTATATAAATATCATAATACTGACTACATAAATATTAGATGTGTTTGTATGACTTAAAGTTCACATGTTTCTACTATTTTTAATTAAGATATTTAAGACATTTATGCAAAAAAATGTATGTATTATGTAATAAGTATATGCATTGGAACAGAAATAACTCACGGTCAAAAAAGTAAGACCGCTAAATATCACTGCTATGGAACTGAATCCTATCGTTGATAACGCTATGTATCGAACTGTCATAGTAACATCTTTTGCATATCTGTAATTAGCTGTTAATTATTATCGGTTTTTTTATTAATTTTATTGTTATATATGCTATTACAGAATTAATTATAATTATGCGTTAGTTAATAAAAAATAATATAAATATACAAGTTTAAAGATGTTTCGATCGTATAATATTAGTTAAAAATATCAGCCAAAAAATTTGCTAAAAAGCTAATATTTATAAGTGAAAATCAGTCAAGAGATGTTTAATACAATCAAGTGAAGAAGGCCATATTCGGTCAAGAAAGGTATTGGTGTCTAATAATTAGTATCAGTAATATTAAACTTACCAATTTAAAAATAATAAGATTTTATTAAGACTGACGTAAAATTAAATACTAAGCATATTTAAGCCTATAACGGTCAGTCTTCGATCGAGAAAATATTTCGGACGAGGTAATATTTTTGCAATAAATTTATTTAAGGTTTTCAGATTAACACCCTAATAATATGATATTGAATCGGAGATTGAGAATTTGCTTGTCAATTTAATTTAACTTGTGATATTATTGCAGTAATTTAATTGCATTTGATAAAATTCGGGAAAATTTCGGCGCGCAGTTTGAATAATTACAAAAATATGATATATATGCATGTACATATATAGAATATAGATAATTCACTGTGAATTATTTTGAGAAGGTCTAGCTTTAACCGTTTTAGGCTTGAATATGCTTATACTTAGTATTTACCAATTTAATTTGTGATATAATGTAATCCAGTTTCAGTTTAGTCCGTGTTTTAAAACTGCATGGCTTTAGTTTGCTTGAATTAGAAATTGTAAAATTCTTTGTAAAACACAAAAAATATTATTAGACACCAAGATTAACTTTGATCGAATATATAGTTCTTTTTCACTTATTTATGTTAAATATACAAGTATATAATTAGTTTTAAAAAAGATATTATGTGGCAATGCATTACATAATTTACATATTACCGTAACAACCGTTGATGCAGTTGTATACAGATTATGAATTCTGAGATGCTTGTAATTTTCTGAAATTTGTGAGACAGAATCTCGAATCTTGCTGCTATGAACCAAAGCAGAAGAGCTACGAAGACGTTGCTACATACTTGCACACAACTTTGGTATACAGCCATTATATGATGCAAGTAAATAATAATTCTTAGTGATTGTTTATTTATATTGAATGGATATTCAACTTCGATTGGAAAGGGTTGAACCATCAATAATGGTCCGAACCACATTATTATAGCAGTCATGGTTATCAAACACAATGTCGTTCCATAAAATAATTTACATTTGTTGATATATCGCTGAAATATGTTCCTTTCTTCCGATTTTGCTTGCTGAATATAATTTTCCATTTCGTATATTATGATCTGCATAAGTATATTATGCATAAGTATTAATCTCTTATTAATGATGAAGTCAGCAAAAGAAGTCTTTAGTTGTATATCAGTTAAATATTTTTGTCAAAATGACATTATTTCCTGAATATATTTTTAAATGTAACTTTTTAAGCTTTTGGCTAATTAAACTTTGCACAAATATATGTATAATATTATATAATAATTTAATTTGAACTGTTTTGTATATAACATACAGTATTAAATATTAATATTAAATGTACATTGCTGCTTGTATATTTTTTCGCGATATTAATGAAAGAATTTAAAAAATATTATTTAAAAATAAATTCATTTTTAAGTGCAATTATTAAGATATATTAACTTTGTTAAATAATTTTTTAATTTAGAAACAAAATAAACACAAGTGTAAGTAGACAAAAGTTTATAAATGGTACAATAAAATTGATAATAGAATCAATTGAGTGATGGTTTTATTGAGAAATTTTTATTTATGCTTTATACTATATAACTAATAATATAATTTGAAAAATGATAAAATTACTTTTTTAATAAATTTGAAAAAATGAAAAAATGTGTTGCAGTTCTGAATACTTTGAGATGTAAACAATATGAAAAGGCCTACCAGTATAATTTCACAATACATTTTTTTCTTATATGTCCATTTTTTGTTTCTTGTATGGAAAGACTTTTAATGTTATTCATAAAATATATTTTGGTATGAACAATAATAATAGATTAGAAGATCTGGAAAAATGGCCAAGATTTTATGAGATCTCAGATAATCTAATGTTTCAATTCTTGGCGATAGATAACTTTATATTTATTGTTATGACGTGTATATTGAATTTTTCTATATTTGTGCAAAATTAAAAAAAAATGTATTTTTTTTTATTTTTTAGAATCTAAATAAAACAAATTTTAAAATGTCGTGTATAATGAATTATATTGTACATACATATATATATTATATATATATTGTACATACATATATATTCAATTGATATTAAATTGTTTTTTAAGTTCCAATAATATTAACAATTTTTATCGTAAAAGATTGAAATAAATAAACAAAATCTTATTTAAAAAAATTTTTTTAATTTTCTTGGAAACTGTCACAATTACAATTGAAAAATTTGTTTATAAGCTATATCGCACAAATTTAATTCTTTACATTACATATTTAAATTTAATTTTTATAGATTTATATTATATCATTTTAATATCTATGATATAAATAAATTGAAATCACAATAAATTCAAAAGCACATTACTTGCAAACGATCACTTTGAAATGTGAACAATATAATTTGTATTGGAACTTGCAAAAAGGCGGTCAGTTCTAAGCTCACTTTCATCACAACAAACATATCATATTTCTTGATTACTGTATATATTAATGATATTGACATTATGATGCTGTTTAAGCAACATAACAACCGAAATATCTTGTCACGAATTTTTTGAAATTTTGTTGCCTTCATCGGAAGTGGCCAACAACATGCAAATATCAGATCTACTTTTAAGAAGGCAATAATCTTTTCTAACGTCAATGTTTCTGTCATAACAGCAATAATAATTTCGTGATATATTAGAGATAGAAAATAACGCACTTTATTACGATTCGCACTTGACTAAAGTGTTATAAATAATGTTCCTCAAGAATTCAAGGGAAGAAATATCTCGTGATATTAAACACTTAAATTACAGACACTTAAACAACTACGTTGCGTTCATTTATATTTTAAAGCAAAATGTAGTTTTCTCCGACAGAGCGATGCATGCGGAACTATAATGTGGCAGAAATTATGAGAGAGAAAAGGAAATAATAAAATACAGGGAGGAATATACATTGATTTGTTGTTAAACGTGCGTCAGTATGTTTGCATTTTCTGAAGTTATATTGACTAGTATTATAAACATTGAAATAATTACATCTTGTATAACGCTATATATGACGCTGTTATATAGCAAGGTTATTCTAAATAAAAAATTTAGAAGCAAATGCGTTTAAAGTTCTGTGTATATAAAAAAATAATATCTTTTTATTACAAATGATGATCTTTGTTATATATATTATATATTAAATAAAGACTTTTTTATAGTCTTGAAATAGTGCATGGTAAAAAATTAAGTAGTGTTTGTTTAGTTGATATTGAATATACTCGTATTTATGAGAGAAAAAGCTTGTAAATTAGATAAAATTAAGTTAACTTCAAATTATCCATATATGATTCATATATAACAAAAATATGCTATATATGATCTCATATATGATCGTATATGTTTATATATTATTCATCTATAGCAAAAATATGTCACATATGATCTCATATATGGTTATATATAATTATATATAATTATATATAATTTTATATAATTAAATATATATAATATATATAATTATATATAAACTTTTTTCCTCGGGATATTTGGTTATTGATTCCATAAACAGCAATCTTTTGAATAATAATTGCGCTGCATTAAAATTACTGTTTTTTTAGAATATGAAAGCTGAATTATTGAATAAGTTCAAGACAGCAAAGCGGCTAGGAATGCCTATCGAGCGATTGAATATGTTTGGTTGGATTTATAAGTAACAACCAATTAAGTTTTATTTGCTCGATGAGCAGGCTAGCTGAGGCTAGCCGCTTTGTTAACTATGCGCCCATTTATTGGGAGTGTCACTGTTGTAAGCGTGTAGTGTGGGGCATGCGCAGAGAAGCTAGGTAGATGATTGCACGCGAAGCACGATAAGCCGGCCCACGTACAAGAGCATTAGTGGTAATTATTTAAAATACTCTCTACATCTAAATCAGTGGATAGTCATTAATTACCGCAGCGGCATACTTGGCACTGGATAATCAATGAAGTTCAATTAAAAAAGGAAGAATGAGCATTATATAATTAAAATAGGTACTGATATTTGTAAATTTATATTAATTTCAATTTTTCAATACCATATTCATTGAATTTATGCATTAAAACAAGATCAATTAGATCACATGATAAAGATTAGATAAGTTAGAAATTTCCTCACATTTCATTCACTGATTACCAGTGTAATACTTGGCACTGATTATTACATTGATTATTCATTGATTCAGATTTAGAGAATATGGATTGCACCTTCGATTTTGATGAAATTAGGCTTATTTGACGCATTTTTGCTCGAAATGAAAGAATCTTTAAGAAAAAATATTAAGACGGCCCGGAAATTAAGCGTTAAAGTTGACGACTATTTATGTATATAGGAAATCTGTCATACATATATATATATGTATATAATAATCCATTTTAATTCGTTCTCGTTTGCTGGGATCGACGAGATGCAGCAAGGGAAAAATAACAGTAAGGGTAAAAAAGCACTTCTTTATAGTATACAAATCTTTGCTTTAAAAATATAAAAGTTATATAAAAAAATAATTTGTGTTTTTAAAGTACAGGTTTTGTGTTTGTAAAGCAGAAAATATAATTGTGAATCTGTACTTTAAAAACACAAATTATTTTCTTATATAATTTTTATGTTTTTAAAGCAGAGAATTATATTCTAAAGAACTGCTTATTTTATTGTTATTTTTCTCTTAAGTATGCTGCGCATCTCGTCGATAGATTTCCTAATCTATATGGTCGTCAATTTTAACGTTTAATA